TTCCACAATCCCAATATCTTTCACAAGGTTTCCACCACGTATAGAGGCCATTAATAGCATGGAAAGCATAACAATATCCAAACAACTCGCATACAAAGACTCACGGTCATGCTAGACTCCAATGTATAGGAACTCGTCACCTTGCCTATACACCGTACTCGATCATTTAGCAAGTAGCAAACAAGACTCGACTCCTATTCCCTCAAGCTAGGGTTAAACCAAACACTTACCTCAACTTCCACGGCCAATACAATCCTCCACAACCGCTTTCCCTCTTGAATTCGGCTCCAACTCGACCAAATCTATGCAATAAGGACTCCATGATATCAATATATGCTAAACAAATCAAACCCGATAACTAATTATAGCTTTTTCACCAATTTACCCCAAAAGGTCAAAAATGCCCCCGGGCCCACATGGTCAAAACCCGAGGTTCGGACCAAAACCCGATTACCCATTCCCCCCATGAACTTAGATATATAAGTTATTTTGGAATCGGACCCCGAATTGAGGTCCAAAACCCCCAATTTTTGAAAACCTAGGTTCTACCCTAAATTCCCAATTTCCCCATTAAAATCTTTGTTTTGAAGTTGAAATTAGGTTTAAAGATGTTAAGGAGTAAAGAAAATCAGTTAGAAAATACTTACCAAACGTTTTGAAGAAGAAGGATCGTTTGGAAAATCGCCTCTTATGTTTTGGGTTTTGAAAAAGTGTAAAAATGGCTGAAAATCCCGACTTATATACTTTGCTGAAGGACTGGCGCGGACCGCACAAGAAAGCACCGCGGCCGCGCCGAAGAAGGGAAGAAAATGGCTCTCTGAACCTACCCAGCGCGGACCGCACGATTTTGGTGCGCGGCCGCGCTGGTGTCTTACACCTGGAGTCTTCTCTGAATGGAGCGCGGGCCGCACGAACTTGGTGCGCGGCCGCACTGGTCAAACCAAGGCTGAAGACCTCTCTGAACCTGGCCACGCGGACTGCTCCACGGCCGCGTGGCTTCCAGCGCGGACCGCGCAGAAATGACCGCAGCCGCGCTGGGGCCTGCAACACTGCAACATCTGATACGTTAAGCCTAAGGCCTCCCGGGACCTACTCAAAACTCACCCGAGCCCTCGGGGCTCCAAACCAAGCGCACACACACTAACTCAAAAACATCCTATGGACTCACCCGTGCGATCCAATCGCCAAAACAACATCGTAATCATCAAATTAGGCCTCAAGACCCATGATTTTCTTCCAATTTTCATATGACCTCAAGTTTAGAGTTTTTTTTAGCCCAAAACACGTCAAACGACGTCCAAATCTAACCAAACTTTACAGAAATTGCTTAAATCATATTTAAGACTTGTGCCGGGCGTCGGAACCAAAATATGAACCCAACAGCGCAGTCTTCTAAACAAATAACACTTCCAAATTCTTTAATTATTTTCAGAAAACAATTTCACACAATAATTCATTTCTCGGACTTGGGACCTCGGAATCTGATTCCGGGCACACGCCCAAGTCCCAAAATTTCCTACGGACCCTCCGGGACTGTCGAATCACGAGTCCGGGTCCGTTTGCCCAAAACGTTGACCAAAGTCAAACTCAATCAATTTAACATCAAATTTATTATTATTTTTTTTTCTTTTTCTCACAAATTCATATTTAAACGTTCCGGCTACGCGCCCGGGCTGCGCACACAAACTCGAGGCAACCCCAAATGAGGTTTTCGCGGCCTCAGAAGTACAAGGGAGTAGGAATACAGGTGATGATCCCTTTGGGTCGTCACATTTTATTATGTGAGAATTTGACATATGTTAAAGTATTCTTTATTTGGGATTTTGAAATTGTGTTATATTTATGGTTCCAGTTTACTTGTTTTAGTAGTATTAGCTTGTTATTTCGCATTGCATATTGCTTATTTTTTAGCTAGAATTGTTAGATTATTTTGTCAAACATTTTCCCAATATTATGATATTATATTTAATAGTAATTTATTTTATCAAACATGTCTTCCATTATATTCTTACAAAATATATGTTTTTAATTTTTATAATTAATTAAACTAAATATTATTAATTTAAAAAAAATATATCAATTATTTTTACAACATTAATTATAAATATATGATTACTAATTAGTATATATTCAAGAAAAAATATGCATCTTAAATACCAAATCTAATAGTATCAATTATTCTTATAAAAAAGTACTTATAGGAATATTTTATTATACTAACTTTTAAGTTTTGATAATTACTTTATTTAAAATTTAATTCAACTGTGTAATTATATTTGTGCAACCAAAAAATATGCTTGCAATTACACTGTAATTACGTTATGACAAACAAACATGCCGTCGTAATTACTATGTTGTGTATTACTTGAATGCGTAATTACTTCCCTGATAATTATACCAATTCCAATTATTGGGTTGCTTTTCAAACATATCCTTAATAAAACTTTGAGAATCAAGACAGTTCAAAAGTAGGTACTTAAAAGTTACATAATGTATTGATTAACAGGTATATAATCGACGTGTGTACTTGTTAATATGTCAACGTCTCCAACCACAATTACATAACTTTACCATTTTCAATGCAAAATGAGAAACACACAAAAAATTCCGACATCCAGGGTCAATTGGCAACGCGCATATTAGCTTTCCACACATTTGAACTTGCCTTCTCAACTACAACCACATATTCTTGTCTTAATTTTTTTTTTAAAAAACATATAAGTCGGTTGATCTTTAAAAAAGCTACCATAACTGCAAAGAAGAAAAAGTCGGCCATCTAGGAATTGTTACTGTTGATATTTGAACATTGAGATTTATAGCAACCACCATACAGAACGTGTATTCCAAGTCAAGTTAGGAACACTATTAATGTCATAATTGGTGAATTTTTGTCAACTCTAGGATATTAGAGTGGTATTTGATTTTTGAGTTCTTGAATTATTCATCAGTTTGAAATTTTTTTTAAAAAAAAATTCAGTAATATTTTTTTAGCAAAAACAGCTCAAACAAACATTTTTTTTTTCTAGAAAATCAGAGACTGAATTTGTAAACTCAACTGTTGCAAATTCTAAACAAAAGCCACCGTAGTTAATTGAGACTAATTTTTTAGTCAAATCGATGCTACATCAGTTGGCACACATTTGCCAAATTCAACCAAGAAACATATGTAGAAAACTCTTACTTCACCGATGCATAGCGCATATTTACCACTGTAATATTAACTCAATTGAGATTAACTTACTTTACTTTTCAAATAAAAAAAATGCTGCAAAAACGTTTAAAAAGCATGGAACCCGGTCCCTTAACCTTAAGGGAAAGTAGAGGCTCAAAAAAAGAAAAAAAACCAAGACAGTTAATTGGCCAACTCTCTCTCAGTTGCAAAAACGCACTGATTTGTACAACTCCTATAAAATGTGACGCCTGCAATGCTGCAATGGGTCTCTTTCTTGGCTACCAATTTAATAAATCAAGAATGGAGTTCTTAAAAGCACCAAATTTAGAAAATGCAGATCAATCCAAACATGGATAGTACTTTTCTAGTGTGCAAGATCTTTTAATTTCCATTTACATTTGACCATGCATAGGTCGTATGACAGATGTCTATTTCTTAAAATGGGTTTAGTAAACTACATTATCCACTATATCTTTTTTATACTTTTTTAGTTCTTTGATATCGTTACATGGTGGTAACGTTTTTTCTTTTTATAGTAGGTTTAGATAGACGCCGAGTAAATAGATTGAGGGCATCTGTGCATGGACATTCTTCAGCAAACAGGCATTATTTCCTTAAGTAGGTATATTACTTTCCATAATATTTTTGAATTAGGCTCCTTGTCTGACTTTGACAACGACTTGCTATGCCCCGTACACCAAGCTGCACCAACCTTGCTTGTTTAGACTTTTTCACTCTCCCTATTCCTTTAATTTAGGGTCAAACCTCTTTATAACAACATTAATTGTTTCGATATTAGTAATATTTTTGAATTAGGCTCCTTGTCTGACTTTGACAACGACTTGCTATGCCCCGTACACCAAGCTGCACCAACCTTGCTTGTTTAGACTTTTTCACTCTCCTCATTCCTTTAATTTAGGGTCAAACCTCTTTATAACAACATTAATTATAAAGAATATATATTATAACATAACACAAAAATTAATTTCGGAAAAAATTGACTTTTATAGTGAATGATTTTTATATAGAGATTTTGTTATAGAGAGATCTGATTGTATATATATTCACTGATAGTATAATTTTTTTGCACATTAGTCGAATAACTTTTTTTCAAAGTTAAGATGTCATTTCTTAAAATTAAATGCAAAAAGTATGAATTAAAAATCATGTGTCATATATATATATATATATATATATATATATATATATATATATATATATATATATATTGTTCTTGATCTTAAGGTTGACGTTTCATCTTGAGTTTTTTTTTCAAACTTTATGTATTAAGATCTCCCTACTAGTGGGAGCTATAGGAAGTTGGTATTAAAAAAAAGTTATCCGGCCCAAGCATATTGCATTTTTTTCTTGTCTTCTAGAATATATAATTAAATTAGACGGGACTATTTGCATATTAATTAATTAGATAGGATTCCTCCGTTATCCTCTGATGTATTTGACGAGTGCTTGTAAATATCTTCTGATAATATTAGCTTTGAATTTTATACCATCATTCTTGATTTGTGATCTCCACAATAGTTGGTTCCATGCATACACGAGCAAAAAAACATAATAGATAAGTAATTTGCTATTTTAATGCAACATGCAAACTTTAATCGACTGAATTTAAATACTGATACACGTACTATAAACTGGAAGTTTTGAGGCATCCTAGTCAGATTCTTTCACTTCCCTTCATTATTAAATAGCTCTATTTGCTAAGTACAATACTTTAATAAATAATACTGTAGATCATAAATAGGACCACTTACTAATAAATACACACCACATGCTTTAGCGAATTTTGTACCTCTTCTCAGACCTTCCTTTGGCATCTTCAGTTCATAAATATCTCATTTCTTTTCATAAGGTTAACTTTGATTGTTAAGAATAGTAAAGCTTTCTGCGAATTCAGATTTCAATCCAAAAGACAAGCAATTTAAACCAGAGAATGAATGGTAAAGCTGTTGTTGAAGATGCATACCTTTACAGTGAAGAGACGAATCTCACAGTTCTCAAGACTTCCCTTTTCTTCACTGGCGATGGCTTCACTGCCTACGATTGCAAAGGCGAGCTTGTTTTCCGAGTCGACACGTATGGACCGGACTCTCGTGACCTGGGTGAACTCGTTCTAATGGACGCCACTGGTAGATGCCTTCTCACTGTTCGACGTAAGGTACTCATCAATAGTCAAAATCCCTAACTTTTCCTCCTTCTGTCAATTTCTAATTTTGACCTTGTTGTTATCATATAATTGCGAAATTCATTCAGTTTTCAATGTACGAGTTGACTCTGTTATAAATTTTTGGAACAGAGGCCTAGTCTACATAACAGGTGGGAAGGATTCTTAGGAGAAAGAGAGGAGGGACAAAAGCCAATATTCAGCGTGCGTAGATCCTCAATAATCGGAAGATCGAGCGTGGCGGTGGAGGTATACAGCAATCCAATGGAAGAGTATCAGATCGAAGGGTCATTTGCGCAGAGGAACTGCACGTTTTTGAACGCCGATAAAGTATCAGTAGCTGAGATTAGACGCAAAGTGGATGCTTGTGCCAATGTAGTGCTTGGGAAGGACGTTTTCTCTTTATCAGTTAAGCCTGGTTTTGATGGCGCTTTCGCCATGGGATTAGTCCTCGTGCTGGATCAGATTCAAGGCGATGATTATGTTAATCCTAACGATAATAGGGTCGATGTGGACCCCATCTCCGATGATCCCAATCTTTCTTCTTGAATTTTCATTCCATGTCACTGTAATCTATAAAATTAATCTTTTCTTTTGTTCCCTTTTTGATTTTATGTAAAATAATAAATCCTACTAACTGAAACTGTTATAGTAATCTTGCCCCCAAATTAGAGAAAAGAATCTGGATTAAAATATCAAATGTAAATGTTTGATTCTCACTAGGAATTTCTTTCTCTTTTTCCTTCACGGCCTTCCCATAAAGAATTCTAATAAGGAAAAAGAAAATTTTAAGATAGCAAAAAGTGAAAGTTATATTATTTTAACATTTGGATTTGAATTCATTTGTTAACCCCAACGTGTAGACCGCAAAATATGCTAAGATGCTTAAGGAATAAGAATGGTCTTTAATTCTAGTATTTGTTTACGTAAAGTGATTCTTCCACTTGTTAATTTGGTGCGACTGTGTGGTGTTCAATTAATATAAACTCTACCAGTTTCTTAGTTAAGTACTATCTTAGGGTACAATACAAAATCGATTTCCTTGTCAATGTTGGATTAGGGAAGTAATGCTCGTTGATTTCATGATGATCACGATGAGTTGAATATTTTACGCTAATGTACGGATCCTTTCCATTTTAATTGTCGCTTTAGCTCAAAAAAATTGTTCCAAAATAACTGTTACTTTTTAAAATTTAACAATAAATTTGTTAATTATTTCTAGCTATACCTTAAAGCAACCGTTAAAATTGAACGGAGAAAGTATGGTTTAGATCCTTGCAAAAAAAAAAAAAATTACAAATTATCTCAGAACCCAATCAGATGCACATAGCCACTGAAAGTTTAAATTGCTTCAGCATTGCGCCACTAATAATGCCGAATCGTTTTCTACTTTTCTTGCTTTCCTTATCGTGGTGGACCTTTTATTGGGGATTGTAATCGTTTTTCCTTTCCACTCGATTTTATAAAAACAAACCCCTGAAATAAATGCAGAGTTTCCACATGCTGGATCGTATGGGCTATTTCCAGAGTTTCCACATCCTCTACCCCCCCCCCCCCTCCCATCACTTAGGGGTCGTTTGATTCAGGGGCAAGTTATGCATGAATTCTTAATATAGGGATTGTTTATGTCGTGATTAATGTGATGCGGCGCCTTCCTGAGATTTCTTGAAAGGGCAACGTAAGGCTAAGCAACTAATGTCAATGCAGTTACGATTCGCCAACTGAGGTCCCCTCCGTACACTAGACGACGTATGGGAAAACCAATGTTAAGAGCAATTGAGAGAACAGAATTGAGAATTGAGAATGAAAGAAAGCTTGATTGCATTAATGAAAGCTATTACAAAAAGCAACGCGGTGTCGAGGGAGAGAGACACCAGTACAGAGAATTGTTTGCTTGCTAGATAGTTTGATTACTTGATCCTCCTAATAGTGCTTAAAAAAATAAATCAAAGTTACAAGACTTGCCTAACTAAGCTAGAGGAATATAATGGAAGTACATGAAATAAAACTACTCTATATTTATAATGAAAAGGATTTAGTTTTCTACAAGGTAGAAACAGGTCCGTTGTCAGCAACCTTGTCTTTGGCATCATGATCTGCGCGCGCGGCCCTGTTGGCATTTGCCTGCGGCTGGGCGCTGGCGAGGGCTATCGGTGGGGAGACAGAGGCACATGCGCGCTTGTCACTTGGCGCAGCCAAGACCACGGGGCCGTCCATGGCGCTAGGCATTGGGAGGCTTGCTAGGACGCCATGGGGCGCATCCAAGGGGTTATGGGGCATGGCAGGAAAGCCGCCCATGACATTAATAATGTAAAGATTGTTATGTAGTAATTAATAATAAAGAAATACTAATTATTATTATTATTATACAAGAAGCTTTTACTTTAACAGCATTTTAGTCAAATAATTTAATTTTTGCATTGCTAATACATATATTCTTATTGCACATCCTACTATAAATTTACGCATAGGTTTGCAATATTTTTTGAAAAGATAAGATCCAAAATGATAACCAAACAATATATAAGTTGTGCTAAATTTAATGAGGAGATTATTTCTATTCATTCAAGCAACCAGCATGTTGTCAGTTATGCTGAATTTAATGAGAAGAAATAAAATTCCATATTCGCTCGAAGGATATGTGCCGGACAGCAGGGGCGGATTTAGGGGCGGAAGGGTGATCACCCGAACCTCCTTCGCCGAAAAATTACACTGTATATAAAAGGCAAAATTTAGTTTTTACCTCTATATGTTATGTTTTGAATCCTTTTGACATAGCCCAAAAGCATAGATTAGTGGTTAAGGGGGTTCAAAACCTTGTAAGGTCGTGGGTTCTACTCCCACTAGCAAAAACCTTTTTAACTTTTCTCTTGTTTTGAACCCCCTTAGCAAAATCCTGTCTCCACCGCTGCCGGACAGACTTCTTCCGTTTCCGTTGGTGGGAGAGTAAAAGTTGCAGTAAGAATATGCATTCCTCTTGTTTGATATTCCTTCTTTTGCTGTTTGTCCTATCTAGAGCCGTCAAAATGGGCTTGGCTCGTGAGGCCAGCCAACCAAGCCCGCTACTTGGGTAGGGTCATGGGTTCTACTTCCACTAGTTATAACCTTTTTAACTTTTCTCTTTTTTTGAACCCGTTAGCAAAAATCCTGTCTCCACCACTACTGGACAGACTTCTTCCGTTTCCGTTGGTGGGAGAGTAAAAGTTGCAGTAAGAATATGCATTCCTCTTGTTTGATATTCCTTCTTTTGTTGTTTGTCCTATCTAGAGCCGTCAAAATGGGCTTGGCTCGTGAGGCCAGCCCAACCCACCCCGCTACTTGGATAGGGTTGGGCTAAGACTTTTTTAGCCCATTTAAAACTGCGGCTTATAAGCCCGACCCAAGTCGGCCCGCTGGCCCGTGAGGCTTGACCGAGGTTGGGCCTGGGCCGGCCCGTGGGCCAAAAATTAATTAAATTCAAATTAATTAACTATTAAATAATTAATATTTTAAAAAAGTAAAAACTATTAACTGTAATCCCCATTCCCAACCTTGGATTGCTCATTTACTTTTCCATATCAACTAGAATTAATATTTTTGACATGCATGTAATATGACAAAATTAGTTTTTCTTTTGCTTAATTAATAACGAACTCGAAAAGTTTTAGGTGACCAATAATAATCTTTTTATTAAAAGAAAATATTACTTTAAGTGGCCAATGATCAGTTTGGATTACTTTAATACATTATTAATATTTAAACTGCTCTTCAGTATAGAAAAAGATCAATTTTAAATACACAAAAAAAATGACCACTAGCAAATTTCATGAATTTTAAAATTTTTATGGACTATAGTGATGAAATCAGCAAATGATGTTAATCCTAAAGTAAAACACCTCAGCATTTAAACTTATTGAAGCAATCCCTGAATCTGAGAAAAATGAAACAAAAATTTAAGAAAATATTCATGTAACTTTAGAAAAGAAGAGCTAGAGATATAGATAATTTGCATTTCAATTACGAGATTCTTCGTCAAATATTAAGCCTTTTGTACGCTCTAAGCAAATAGAAGTTGTTTACATGATTAATCGACTATGTCACGAAAAAATATTTAAGGATTTAAAGAAATTCTTTTTTCTAAAAATAAATTGAAGGGCCGGCTCGCCCTAGCCCGCGACCCTCTTAGGGCTGGGTTGGGCTAGCCATATTAATGACCATTCATGTGGCGGCCCGGCCCGGCCTAGCTCACCAAATTTAAAAGCCCACGAGGCTTGGACTAGGTCGGGCTGGCCTGACCCGTTTTGACAGCTCTAGTCCTATCATTCAGTTTTGCCTTTACGAATTTGAGGATTATATCGATCCTTTGTCTGAATCGTTGTCACTTGCCAGTTGCCACATGGCCTACATCTATACTCAAATGCAATTGTCTCACCTACATTAGCCAATACTTTAAGAAGTTAGTTCCACCCTCTGTCGTTATTTTTATTATGAAGAGATCCAATAAGCTTGAATCCAGCGTGTTGCCTTTTACTGGTCTGGTTGAATGATTGAAGTACTCACTAAAAGTGATTGAAAAAATATTTCCATGTGCTACACATTTGTGAAGACTTAATAAGGAGCTCATTTCGAACGCATAATTTTGCAACATTAAAGGCCACATTATGATACCAAAATTGGTAACGATTCAGTAATGGAGCAGTAGATAAGGAGAGAAATGAGAAGAGATAGGAAGAAGAGAGACTAGAAGGAATTAGAGAGAAGATCAGAAGCTCCTTAACATATCAAAAGTGTATAATAAGAGTTTACAACTTGCTACTTATACTTCTAAACAATCTACTGAAATGCAAAATATGCTGAAATTACATTCTAACTGAAATTCCCGCCAAAGCAGTAAAATTCAAAAAGTAACAGCTATTCAAATTATCCTACTCAGCAGCTGAAGTGGCCTCAACGTCTGGCATCTCTGAATTATGTGTATCAATACCCCCTGATGAAAATCACCCTTGTCGTCAAGGGTGAATGAAGGAAATATGGTCCTCACGATTGAAGCTAACTCCCAAGTGGCATAAGCAACATCCAAACCTTTCCGTTTGATCAAACATTGCGTGACTGCTTTGTTGCCTTTCTTGATCAATCTGCGACCAATGACAGCCTCAGGAGCAAGGCAAAAAGGACTGGAGAGATCCAAGATAGGTGGATGAATTATTTCAAAAGGGATGGTGTGACCCAGTTGGAGCTGAAAAATATGAAAAGTAGGATGAATTTGGATACAGGAGGGAGCAGCAGCTTATAAGCAACTGCACCTATCTTTTCTACAATGGGGTAAGGACCAAAACAACGAGAAGTGAGCTAATGATAGGGGGAGACATATAGGGTGGACTGCTTATATGGTTGCATCTTCACAAAGACTCAATCACCTACTACAAAATGTTTGTCAGTGCGATGAGCATTACCTTGACCCTGCATACGCTGTTGAGCTCTAGCTAAATGATATTTAGCCAATTGCATTTTAAATTCTCGAAGCAACATAATGTTCTAATAGAGATGAAGAGGAGTAGGGTAACCATAAAGCAATTCAAAAGAAGATGTCTGAAGTGTGTAAAGTGAAACCCTGAGCAGACAAGAATTCCTTCCAAAAAGCACTAATAAAGATGGGATCGCGAT